GGGCTGACCCCCCACCCACTGCGTCCAGTCTCACCTGCAATGCCCCAACAGGTTCTTACCCCACCTTCCTACAGAGAAGAGTTCTCGACAATGGAAGAAGGGATGAATGAGGGGGAAGCTGCAGGATGGATAGCATAACAATATGATGAGGTAGTTCCTAAGGTTAGAGATACAACTGGGTTCCGTCCCTCAGGGGGCAATAAAATGTCACTGTTGCTGGCAACTTGGCCACAGAGCATCAGAGTGCTTCGCTCCAGCCTCAATAGCACAAACGTGTGTACCAACTGCCAGCACGGTAAAGAGAAGGCCCCAGAAGCTGTCACAGAAGAGTCATCTGGGCCAACAACTTCCGGAAGTGGATCCCCAACCTAAGGTGATGAAGAGTGCTACCAATGGGGAGGCCTTGGAGGAGGAAAATGCTGAAGATGACCCAATGGTTAGTGCACCCATCCACCCCTTTACTATAAAATGCAACCTCCAAGTGCCAAAAACGGGAGTGGAGGGGGAAGTTGGGGCAATTGTGGACACCGGCTGCACCTGATGCTTAATTAGTATGTCGATTGTGGAGCAGCTAGGCATATGCACAAGACCTCTAAACCATCCTATTTGGTTTGAGCAAGTGGATGGAACACTGATTGGGGGGGGGGGGCAACCATGAAAATTATCGAGTTGGTAAAGTTGATGATAGGCTGCCACTATGAATTCCTCAGATTCATCGTAGCTCCAAGAATGCAGGAATCAATTATCTTGGGACTTGCATGGCTGGACAAGTGGGCACTACAATAAAGTGGGAGGATGGCGTTAGAAAATTAATTATCGGCTTTGGGCCGTTACCACCGGTGGAGCCAAAAGGCCACCCAGGAACGATTAAACTCAACAGCCCAGACCATCCGGAACCTGCAGCATCTGCAGCAGACACCAAACCCCCAGGAATCCAACAAGTACCAAAAGACTACTGGGACTTAGCGGGAGTGTTCAGTGAGGAAGATTGCAACTATCTTCCCCCTCACCGGCCCACAGATTGCGCAATAGACTTCAAACCTGGGGCTACTTTACCGAAGCCAAAATTGTACTCCTTGACTCCCAAAGAGATGGTTGAATTGAGGAACTACATCAACATCAATTTGAAATGGGGCTTTATAGAACCAGTAAAGTAGAAAGTAGCGGCCCCAGTGCTCTTCAGAGAAAAGAAAGATGGCTGGGTTCATCCCTGTGTTGATCTGCGAACCTTGAATGAGGGATGTGAAAAGAACACTTATCCCCTTCCCCTCATGAAAGATATGTTGAACCACTTGGCAAAAGGCAAGATCTTCACCAAGCTGGACTTGAGAGAGGTGTATTACCGCATACGGATCAGAGAGGGAGATGAGTGGAAGACAACTTTTAAAACCCTCTTGGCAGTTTTGAATACAAAGTCATGCTATTTGGCCTACAAAGAGCACCCGCAGTCTTCATGCAGCACATAAATGAGGTGCTACATGAGGACCTGTACCACGGAGTTTAGTTCACCGCCAAGTTCTGGAGAGAGTTCTTGAGATCCCTTGGGTCCACACAAGGACTCAGCTCAGCGTTTCATCCCAGCCCGAATGGTGCAGCGGAGAGGGCCAATGCGATGGTGAAAGAATACATCGGGTGTTATGTGGACTATCAGCAAGACAACTGGTCAGACTTGCTACCCTTTGCCGAAGTGGCGTACAACAATGCGGTCCACAGAAGCATTGGATTAACTCCTTTCCAGATTACCAGTGGCATGGAATTTGTTCCCATGCCTGAGCTGCCTAAAGAACCTCCCTCCTCTTTGTCTCTGAATGAATGGATGGACACATCCATTCATAAGAAAGGGTGGGAAAATATGAAGAAATCTCTAGCAGATGCAGCAGAAGCCTACAAAAGCAAGCTGATAAACACCACTCACTCCAACCCCACTTTCATGTGGGGGACAAAGATTTTGTATCTACCAAATACATAAGATTAAGAATGCCTAGTAAGAAATTGCGGCCAAAATTTCTAGGTTCATTCCCAATAGTGAAGATAATTAACCCAGTTACAGTTCAACTCAGTCTGCCCAGAATTCTAGGGAAGATTTACCCAGTATTTCATTGTAGCTTATTGAAACCAGTAATTGGGTCCAGCATAAGACCGTCCACCCAAGCTCCCCCTCCCCCTGTAGTGGTAGAAGGGGAAACACATTATGAGGTGAAAAAAATCTTAGATGCCAGGCTGTATAGGGGTCACTTACAGCATTTAGTGCATTGGAAGGGGTACCCTTTGTCCGAAGCTACTTGAGTGAAAAGCTGGGACTTAAAAGCGGATAAGTTAGTAAAACAATTCCATGAGACAACAATGAGAAACAATTCCTGATAAGTCAAAAGGTCCCCCTGGGG